CGAGATTGTTCAAATCTGCCAAACCCATACAGAGATTAATTACTGAAAATAACAGAAAATAATATAGTTTATTCTTAATGAATGTTTGATAACTATCTGGACATTACAAGTATTTTGTCATATGAAATTTGAAATTTTTTTGATGCATTAAAGAATTTATAATCTTAAAATGAAAATTACTTTGCATATTGGATAGGCAAAATGTGAAAAGAAAAAAAGGCATGAGAAAAACAATTGCTTTACAAATCTTAAGACTTAATAAAAAAAATTTATATTTTGTTTAAGAAAACATTGTAATGTTTACTGATAATCTGCCAAATTTCATTAACGTTCACTTGCTAATTGAAAAGTTATAGCATGAAAACTATAACAACCACAAAATGGTTACAAGGTCGTCACATTGACCGACCCTTTATTGAAAGAGTTAAATTGCCTTCAATTCACACTTACCCTCACAGGTAGATTTTGGTACTCTTGCTCACTCTTGATTGCATGTGGGTGGTATTTCCAATCTCATTGCACTACTCTTCAGATGGTCTATGCAGTTTCTTGTAAGATAAATGCTGGTATGATCTCTGGGCATTTTCCTGTATGAGATATTTCCTCTACTGATGTGTTGGTGTATTAGCTAGGTTAGTACTGACATCTTTTTTTCACCACTAAGTACCTACCTGGTATATTGTCATAGGGCTGACAATGGAGTATATTCCAGACTGCTTTATAGACCATGTCTGTGACAGCTGGCATGTTACCTCTGACCAAAGTGTTTGTCATTTTTATTCTTATTGTTTTTAACCCCTTCTCCACACTAGTGAGTTTGGGGTAAAATATAACTGTACCAGATTATTTTAATTACAAGGTAGATATCAGATTTAATACTATCTGACGGAAGAGGTGTGTGCACCACATGACTATACCCATAAGGTTTACATAATAGATTGGAAGTAGTGGACAATAATATTGGAGATTATGTCATTTCTTGTTGTTAAAAGTATACATTTTAAGGTTATATGAAAAGTAATTATCTCTGAATTATATTTTACTAATGAAATATTAATCCTGTGCATGCTTTGACCTTCCACAGAGTGCCATTCAACATGGTATTATGTATTTGATGTCAGAGTTATCATCTATTCATTTTATCTTACATTATTCATTTAGTGATGTTGGAGGTAGAGGAAAGTAAATACCAGATACATTATACAGGAATACTGAAAAACTGGGCTTATGTATTTTGGAGTCTGTAGAAGTTATGCAAATACAATACGTTGTATGATGGATGAAAGTAATATCATTTTTTTATTATTCATATGAATATTATCTTAAACTCTGACTTGTCCGAGTCAGGCTGACATTGTCAATTCACAGACGTACGAGTACAAATACTTTTGTAATATATCTGTTTTTTGTGTACAACAGACTTGTACATTTTACTAAAAGCTTGACTCATATATGTAGCTACAAATAGTAAATTCAGAATTATAGTCAACATTCTTTCTTCAAAACAGGGTTAGTCCAATAGACATTTGGTTAATGTTTCAAGCATTAAATCTCATCTTAAGGATCTGTATTTTTATGTGAACTGCAGTAAAGGAGTTAAATATAATTTGGATGCCTTAGATTATTTACTAGGGTTTTTAGAATAGAGAGAAAGAGTTAAACAAAAGTTTTTTTCTGCTTATCAAGGAGAAGGAGAGATAATACTTCTAATAATTTTTTTAAGGTAAGGAAGATCTTTTCATAAATTCAGATAATGTACTTACTGCTAAATTCGCTCACATTGTTAGTAGCTTAAAATATAGTTTTGCTTAATTTTATTGTGCTACATGTCTTTCTTTTGAATTTTGTAATGTGAAACAGTGAAAGGTTCTTTGTTTTTAAGTATCCATGAGTGTAGTAGATTCAGTGAGGTTATATGTAGCCAAAACATAATTTGAGGAATGGAGTGCTGTATATGAATGAAACATATCTAAATTGCAAATGATTAACACAAATGACTGTGCAAATAGTCATAGATTATAATATGGTATATGATTCCTTTTTGTTTTGTTTTTTAATGATAGACATGTCATCCAGAAAGAAAGTCCTCCTGAAGGTAATAATCCTTGGAGACAGTGGGTAAGCATCTATGTAAAAATCACTATTTCCTGAACTGAGCTTAAGACCAGTTACATTAGGGAAATAAAAGTTAAGGTATATAACCACTTAAAATTATTTGATAATGTAGAACTGAATGTAAAATAACTGACTTAAATAGAACAATTGGACAGTGCAAATGAAAATTATTTAAACTTCAGAAAAATTGTTTAACTAACATTTTGGCTTATGCTATCTTCTTGGTTGTGTCTTTTACAGCAACACAATGGTTTATCACAGCATTATTCAATGTGCTATGTCCCTGAGTGGCTTACTAGTAAGTCTAAAGACTACTAATGCTTAAAACTGAGTTTTGATACTTGTTGTGGGCACAGCACAGACAACCCATTGAGTAGCTTTGTGCCTAACAAAAAAAAAACAATTATATAAAATTTATTGCTAAAGGGGTATTTTTGATGTTGTTTGTAACAAAGAACACAAAAATGTGGTATCTTCAAACAGTCCAAACTGGGATAAATCTGAATGAAAAACCTGAACATTATTTGGCTTTGGGAATAAAACAAATGTTTGATATCTTGAAGTCTGTATAATATCATGCTAGTTTGTACATTGTGTGTTTTTATTAAAGTATTCTCAGTTGGAAATACTTTAAGATTAGTTGTATAGTTATTAAAATTTCAGCTGAATCAATAGGTATGGGGATATTTTATTCCCAAATAAAAAATAAGTAAATATTAACAGAAATAAAGAAAAATATATACAGTTTAAGCATGCATTGTTACATTTATTTATTCATTAATTAATTCATTTATTTATTCCATCAAATATTAATTTTTTTTTCTTGTTTGCTTTTACATTTCCTTGTTCCAAAGATAAACGTACCAATCAAAGCTTGTGAACAGTATCATTTCAGCCATTGGCTAATCCATCAAAGATTGGCAGTCAACTAAGTTGAATGAAATAATACTAGAGTTTGTTAATGGCAGTGTTCATGAAATTATTTTTATTGTAATTGATCAAAGAATGTGAATGTGCACTCTATTTATAGGTTGAAAACTGTGCATTACTCTTAGTCTGTTTTACGAACTTGCCAAAGATTTCATACAAGAAAGTATGTCTGAATACTGTTTTATAGGTTTACAATGTGGCTTTGTTGGTTTCAGTTTTATTGATTAAACCTGTGATGTGGAAGTGAACATATAGGCTACCTTCATATATATGGCAGTTTCTGTTTATTAAGTAAATTATTTGTTGTTTGAATAATTCTGATGTTAGCTGCCAGTAAGTAGAATTGGGTGATTAACTCAATCAATGTAATCAATTAGTATCATGTAAAATAATTGATGATTTGAAGTTAGAGGTACAGTTAAATCAATTAATGTCACAAAAATAATCAAAATTGGTGTTTCTGGTTATTACTATTTTTGATCATTCCAACTACCTAAGTCTCATGTGAGAGTTATTGATTAGTTGTATGTAATTAGTTTATGAACTGATTGATTAATTTATTAACAAATTCCACCAGAGGCCCAGCTCTAGTTACAACTATAGACTCGATCGACACCATACTCTGCATTTGGTGAACTCTCCTCATAAAACTCAATTTGTACTTAAATATATACTAGCTGAGTTACCTGGCGTTGCACGGTGAAAATTTAGGTTTGAAATGTATAGATCAGTATTATTTTCAGCAAATTATTCAGTAAATAGACAAAAGCTGTGATAAATAAAAAAAGCATTTAATCAAACAAAGCTTTATTTGAAATA